CAGTAAATGCTGCAGTATCTTCACCTTTGGGATGAAGTGTTTGCTGGATGTGGTAATTTTTGGATATTAGAATGTTATACCTAGTCCGTATTTTAGTGCACCTAGCACTCTCATAGACAGACAGACATAATAACCATTAAGTTTGTTAATTGATATCCTGACCTGTTTTCCTTGCTGCCCTTTCTATTCCCTTCTCATCACAACTTATGTAATATAGTTTATATCTATATAAATATATCTAGCACCAAGTAATACAGAAGAGTGGCTGGGTAGTGTTATATTTATAATTGCATATGTAGGAATGTTGATGCTCGGAGAGACAGTCAAGTACAACTCTAAGAAATGTTTATTGCTGTTAGAATGAATAGGTATTACAGACGAGCAGGAAAGGAGAATGTGCCTAATGAATACTGGTGAATACTCCCTTTCTAGTGGGTTAGCATGAGCTAGTGATGGCAGTGATATTGTTGTCCCCAAAAAGAGCTGTTTGTCAGAAGCTGTTCACGAATGCTGGATGTCAGGCAAAGCTCTCGTGGCTGCGGGCTAGCCAATGCTATATGAACTTTACTATACATTTCGTTTAAACACATTTTAATGGCGTAACTAGTTTCATGGGTACCCCAAATTCTATCAGAATATTGTTAAATACTTCCCTTGTAACTGAATCATAGTCTATGAATAGCTGATGTACTTTCTCATTGTACTCCTATTTTTTCTCCAGTACCTGACGAATGCAAAAGATTTGATCTGTAGTTGATCTCTTACATCGAAACCCACACTGATGATCCCCAATAATTTCATCTCTATATAGACTTAACCTTGAGAGAAGTATTTGGGATAAAATTTTGTATGAAATTAAGAAGTTGATAGCAGTGATATCCCCCGATAATTACTACAGTCAGTTCTATCACACTTCTTGTGAACTGGTACAATAATAGATTCCTTCCACTTATCAGGCAATTTTTCCTTATTCCAAATAGAATCAATTAGCTTATGGATCTTAGAACATAGTATTTTACCTCCTGCTTGAATAAGTTCTCCCAGAATTTGATCGCTACCTGGTGATTTGTACCTTTTCAATTTTGCAATAGCAATTTCAGCCTCAAAAGAGGTACGATCAGGTACTAATGGATCAGCTGTATGGATTTCTGTCTGCCTAACAGCACTGACCCTATGTACATTCAATATTTGAGAGAAGTAGTTCTTCCAACTATTCAAAATGTTGTGGGTATCTGCAAGCAGATCACCATTCTGATCCTTCACTAAGTTACTTCTAGGTTGGTAACCCCTCTTGAAGTCCTCTATAGAGGTCTCTATTGTTCTTGTTCTTACTGTTCGTTGCAAGCTTGTCAATTTTGTCTTTCAGATATTCCCTCTTTTTATTCCTGAAGTGCCTGCTGGTTTCACATCTTATATTGTTCAGATTATCCCCAATTATTTCAGTTGGTTCCTGTAACCCCTGCAATTTGGTTTTTTTCCTTTTGTCTAATAATTTTGAGCATCCTTATGCTTATGCTTCTTCAGTTCATAATAACCTAGACTCTCTTTGGCAGAAATTTTGATATTCTCTATAATATTTTCCCAACCTTTATTAACATCCCCCTCAGTGCCTAAGTTTTCAAAAGCTGTGAACATATTTATGATTTCAACACAATACTGTTCCTTACCCTCTACCTCATTTAATTTCTTGAGATTGAACCTCTCCGTGTGAACTCTGTTGTTTGCTTTCTCACTGCCAGTATTTCCCTAACCTTTGCCACCACCAGGTAGTGATCAGTATCACAATCTGCTGCCCTGAATGAACGGACATCAGGTATACTTGAGTGCCGTCTCCTGTCTATCAAAATATGGTCAGTTTGGTTGTGTATCTTCTCATCAGGAGATGTCCAAGTATATTTATGAATGTTACGCTGTGGGAGGGATAGCTTTACTTTATTTACTTTACTTACAATGTGGGAACATTGTACTTTAGACTATAAGATTTCTTAATGTGACAAAGTTTACTGCTCTAACTCCATTATCATTACTAATTTCATGCAAACTCTCATTCCCAGTCATTGGTTTGTAAAAGTCTTCCCTTCCTACTTTGTCACTGAGGTCTCCTAACAAAATTTTCATATGGTACTTTGGGAATTTATCGAATACATATTCTAGTTCTTCATAAAACCTGTCCTTTATATCATAAATTTTATGTTCTGTTTAGGCATGAACATTCAGACTGATGATATCACATCAGTGACCTCTTAGTATTATTTATGACATCCTGTCACTAGTGAACTCTACCCTCTTAACTGCTGATATGATTCTCTTATGTACAAAAACCCTATACCTGATTGATGATTTTCATTCCCCTTTCCAGAGGAAAATGTATATTCACCTACTGATTCAGTGCCACCTCTGCCCCGCCTGACGTCCTGTACTCTCACTAAATCTAACTTATGTTTTGAGATGTCATCTGCCACTGCCCTGAGCAAACCTGCCATATATTAGATTTTCTATTGACCTAGTCCTTCCAGCCGCACTATGGCCCTGGGGTTGACTCCACCTCTAACAGAAATGAGTACCAGGAATATTCATGGGTGTAAAGGACGGCCAGTTCATAAGGCTGACAGCCTCACCACCGTCCCTTTATCTTGAGAATATAGGAGCCTCAGCGTCTCATAACCCTATGGGCCTCTGCGGTCTGTGGTACTCCATGGCCTGTTACAGGGATAGCATTACCTTTTACCCAATGAAGGTACTGGGTTGGTAGTACATATACCAGTCGTGGGAGATTAAAAATGAACAACATTCTAGTAGGAAGACCTGAAGAGGAAGTCCCCTTTGGAGGTAAACACATAAATGGGGTGATGATATAATTGATTTTCAAGGGCATGGATTGGATTAATTACATTCAGAATAGAGTCAAGTAAAAAACATATATGAAACACCAGTTTCACAGAAATGTATCTTCGTATCCAACGTTGCTTTCCAAAACTGTCATATGGAGGTAGCACTGCAAAACTGCATTAGCAGGGGGAAAAACATACGCATGTGAAGAGTATGTTACATGAAAAATTCAACAAAAAATTGCATAGTATTTGGAGATTGGCGCTTGTAACAATGGGCAGATAATCTCTTTCCATTTTGTGTGTCTGATTGCTGTATTATCAGTTGATATAGGAACTGAGCAATGGGCTGGGTGACCAGGGGATTGGATTTTGGTTCCCAGCAGGGTCCACATGCTCTGGGGCCCACTCAACCTCATATCCATTGTGTACTGGGGCTCTTACCCAATAGTTAAGGTGACTGGAGCTTGAAGCTGACCACTCAAATGCATCTAGTGCTGAGATTAAGTATATCATGAACTGTGCCTCCACTCACCCGTATGTCTTCATGACATGGTGCTGAATTCAGTGCAGGGATGGCTTAGCTGTAACCAGCATGATTCTTCTGCAGGGGTATTTGCATGGGAATTTAAATTGATATTTATATGTTTGCTTATAACCCGAGAAAGAGAATTTCTGTCTGCCTCAGTGTTACAATATGTCAGTCCACATTTGCAAGGTCTCAGTTTTTTGCTGTAATACATTGTGTTTGATATGTATTGATATTTTGAATGGGTACCACTATTGTTCAAGGTAGTCCATTGTGTAATGTTATGATGAGGTTGCCATATTTCATTTCTTACATTTTGTGTAAAGGGTCTGTGTTGTCAGTATTCTTATACCTAGCCATTCTGAACAGAATGTGGTCAGATCCACTAACTAGGAAGGATTGTGTGGTATGTATGGGCTATAACAGGCTCTTAATTTCAGTGTGTCACCCCCCCGCCAGCACTCCAGTTGCAACCATTTAACTGCTTCTTGCCATACTTCTCTCTCACCACCTAGTGGCCAGGTCTAAAACCACAGCCTGTAATTTATGTAACAATGCTGTTTGTGACTTAGGAGGCTACATCATAACATGGAATGATTGGATGAGAGTGAATAATGAATTAGAAAAGATGTGGAAGGAACAAGTCATGGCCTAAAATAAGGTACTGTACTAGAATTCGCCCAGAGGGGCTGAGGAAAACCATGAAGAACCTCACTCAGAATGACCCCTAGCAAAAATTGAAGTTGAGCATCTTTCACATGCACATCAGAAGCATTATTGCTTGAGCCAACTTGCGAGTGCATGTGAAAGAAGTAGTTAAATGAGTTACTGATCAGTCATTAGTCAGGAAAGCAGAAAACCCACTTTCCAGCCATTTTGATAGGAGTTACAACACACTTTAAGAATATGTGAATAGTCTATTAGGTTGTATAACTTTTGAGCCATTGAGTGCTGTGTTCATCCACTTGTAATGGGAGAGACCTCAAGCTAAATGGGTCCTTTGTGTCAACATGTCATGGTGTTTTCTCATGTGTGGGGGAGACAGACAGCCTTTAGATATTGAGAGTAGCTGCAAACAAGTTGTCACACATGGCTGAATGGTTGTGGCCATCTGCTTGGAGTTGGTTAGAGGGTCTCACAAACTCGTCACTGTATTACTAAACGGTACAGGGGTCCTTTAGCCCAGGCAGGCTCTTAGGAACAGCCTAAGGGATTGAAAATGGACATATTATTTGGAACTTGGACTCTCTGGTGTTCCCATAGAGTAGATCTGAAAGGAATGGGGTCAGAGAGTGTAGACTGAATTCATTTGGCAGTGGTGGGTTCCAGTGGATGTGGTAATAATCCTTCAGGCACCATAAAAGGTGAGGGATACATCACCTAAATTTGATGCAGAATTTCAAAATAACTAAACAAGCAAATTACTAATTTTTGGCTTTCACGGTGGTTTATTGTTGATGTTGATGCTCTTTTGTATTTGCTCTGTTTGGATGTGAGGAGTGTTGCCAGGTTTCAAAAGTACATGCTGCCTCTGTCTTCAGGGTAGATGTGTGTAGAGTGAGTCTGTGTATAGGTTTTGGTCCAACCCATGGTGGATGGGCATAGTTTTTTGCCCAGTCATCAGCCAATATCAAAAGTGAACAGGGAATGTTACCAAAATGTTTTGATATTATTGTTATTTTATTATTATTATTGGAGGGGGTGGGTTTCCCCATGCACCACGACTAATAGTCTGTTGTATGTCCCCCTTTAATACTCTACCAGTCTCCATACCCTGCCAGTACTGGTGCTTGCTATCAGCCCCGTTCAGCCAGCGAGGCTGGCTGCAGTACCCGATGCTTACCCATCTACCGGAGGCATTGGAAACTACTTGGGCGGGAAACTTTTTGCCTAATAATTTTGCTCAGAGGTATCCTAGAGACATGAGGATCTTTTACATGCCGTAAATCTACAACACGGGACCCATGGCTTAAAGTCCCTCCTGGAGGACTTGTTCCCTGAATTTTTCTGCCCTTAAAAATTCCACGACCTCCGCCAGCTTTGAACCCACGTACCTTGAGTCATGAGGTGGGAACATTACCCCTAGACTACGGAGGCCGCTAAATGTTTTGATAACTTTCACTATCTGCTTTTCATATTGGTTCATACCAGCCCCCATCCTTGGGTCTATTAGATCAAAATCTGATATGCATAAATACACATTCACCCTACTTACTTTTTCAACTGAAGAGGGAGGAAGCTTGTTCCTCTGAAATTCCAGCAGCATGAACAAGCGTGTGTCATGAAAGAAGTCAGACACATGGTTATAATTCTAATGTAGAGAAATAGTGACATTTTCTGTTTCTTTGCCTTTTTCCAGCTGGGTTCAGAATGGTCTCGTTCAGGCTGAATACTGGCACGATCCTCTGAATGAAGAGGAATACCGGAGTCACAGCATATTTCTTGCAGATATAAATAATGAAATAGCAAAAAACAAAACTTACATCAAAAATCTCTTAAAACTGAAGAATTTTGTGTTGGTGAAATTCAATAATGATACTATTGTTGAACCAATAGAAACAGAATGGTTTGGTTTCTACAAACCAGGGCAAAGTTCTGAGGTGATAACACTTCAGGAAAGTGAGCTTTATGTTAAGGTGAGTTTGCTTCATGGGTTTTTTTTTCTATTCCACAAGTAGTCTGGAAAAAATGCAGAGTTAATCGAGTAATCGAGTATATGCTTATGTGTTATGACCCGAATGTAGAACTGAACTATAACATAAGCACAGTTAATAACTTTCAAAAAGTTGCAAATTTCAAACATTTTTGGGAATGACTATTGTGAGAAGTCGGTATCGCTATCATGAATAATTAAGAGCAGGTTAAACTTATAAATGCATGCTGCCATTTGGTTCAGAATCTCTCTGTCTTCCTATCTGCTGTCTAAAATCATAAATTCAGTAGAACGCTGATTATCCGAATTGCCAGTTAACTGAATCAGCGCAACCGAGGCATTCGTCTACTAGGCAGATATCACTCTTAACTTTTTTCACATAAAGTGTTTGAGAATGTTAACTTATAATTACATTTATTAATTTTTCAAGTGTAACCTGTTTTAAAAGTTTTTTTAGTTTATAGTATTATAATAGCGCAGTACATTATAATAATGTTTATTGTGAATAAGAATTTAATTCAGTTTTCTGAACCAACCTTGTCACTAATTAATTTGGATAATTGGCGTCCTGCCTTCTACAGCTCTACAGCCCTTTGAACCTGGCCACACTCTTCATTTTCTTGATCCTATACACTGTCGGTAGGACTCCTTGGATGGGGGATCAGTTTGTTGCAAAGCCACAACGTGCACACATAACAACACAAACATGGAATAAAGGCACACAGGCATCCATGCCTCTAGTGGGATTCGAACCCACAACCCCAGTGTTTGAGCGGCCGAAAATGGTTCATGCCTCAGAACGCACAGCCACTATGATTGGCATTGGCATTGGCATTCTAATGTTTTAAAATATATAAAACTGTGATTTTATCTTTGGATTTGTTTTGTGTAAGTTCATATTCTTTTGCATAAACTTACAAACTTAAATTGAGAGTGTTCGAGAACAGGGTGCTGAAGGAAATATCTGTACCCAAGAGAAGGTTGACATGGCTGAGTGAAAATAGTGGGGCACATCAAGGAAACTGCATGCAGCTTACTAGGCATTCATAACAGCGTCTGCCTTGGCCACGGATATGATATTGATGCTCCTTGTGACACATGTAAAACCACAGATATGCAGAAATGTGGGTACTGAAAGCACATAACAGACTTGCCTGTACTGTTCCATTCTTAGATGTAAATATTTTCCTGAACACTTATTTTTATTGCTAGTGGGGTGGGACTAAGTCCTTTGTACTGTGGCCACTTCTGGCCTATTGTGCCATTCCCAAACACTTCATTTTCACTGTTTGTAATTTATGTTCTTCCCTTAACACATTGCGGACCGGTGGTTTAAACATTTAAATCACCCTGGGGACCAGCGTTTTTAAACCTACTACCCTAACTTGGGCACTGTTCACTTTAAAAATTAATATAGAATCTCCTAAGTAGTTTT